AGGTGTGTCAGACTGACAAATCGACGATTTACTTCAACCTTGGGCTGAATGGGGCCTGGCGTTGTCCTGCTGATAAAAGACGCCACGTTACAGCTGTTGTAGAAATGGTTGGACAATCGGACGAAGAACGATGGCGACGACCAGTAGTTTCTCCCCACACCATTACACCCCCTTAACCATTCGTTACGACCTCCTGAACGCAACATCAGCTCTGAAAGGTCTTTCATCATTGAAGATGACCCTCTGTCAGTCACGTCGCTGCCAACGACGTACAGTCCGGACCCTTCTCAATCTCTGACGACGATGTTGAGCTGTCAATAACTGTCCTCTGTAAGGCCTGAGTCGCCTGGCCACTGTCTGTCGACTAACCATATGTCCTAAGGCATTCGCCGCTGATGACGTCATTGTCAAAAATCCATTCCGAAGGTGCAAAGTACCGGTCTTCATTGGGCGTAGTTATCCTGGGTCTGACTGTTCTTTGCCTGTCTCATGTCTGCCCGGATTGTCTGTAAAGTTGCATCAGGTTAGTTACAGCAACACGGTAGCAACATAAAGTGCAAGCAATGTGTCCATGGTTGACTCCCATCTGTATCATAACCAGGGCCGCTCGCTTTGTTCGGGTGTCAGTCTTGGCATTTCTGTGGTGTGTTCTTTATCAGTGTCAGTGTCCGACATGCCGTCGGTATCATTTATTTACCCATATTGCAAGGTTTTTTTCAGCTGCAAAAGCATCACATGTTTTTTGTTGTCGTTTTTTCGCATTCTGCGTGGACTTGTCATTTTCTGCATAGAGCATTGTTGTGTTTGGACGATGTGTTTTGCATTGATTGAGTTTGAATGTGTTTTTATTCTTTTTTGCAATTTCTTCTTTTAAAATAGTAAAGTTTCTCTTGGCCGTCAGTTTATATTTTGAAATTTTCCTCATCCTGCCAACCCGGCAAAAAATGTTTTTTTTATCACCGACCAAAGATAAAATTAAACTCCATAAACAAACCAATCAAAAAACAAATGCCTAAGTTGGAAATTATTAAGCATCTGTATCTGCATGTGCTGTGTCATTATTCTTGGCGTTTCACCCCGGCCGTGTCATACCAAAAGACGTTAAAAGATGGTATTTGTCGTTACCCTGTCTGGCGCTCGGCATTAAGGGGCTGAAACAAGGACTGGTTTGCTCGGAGTCAGTATACTGTGTCTGTGGGGTATTCATGTTAAACTGCGGCATGGTATCTCAGTGAGCTAGCACTATAAGATTGGAATTAGTCGAGCCTGGTGCAAGCAGGCAGCCATACACGCACACACATCTACAGTAAAACAAACTCACGCACTCACAGTGTCATTTCATTTATGTTGATAAATGTCTGTGATATTCCTCCGATGCCTGCTGAGACATGGGTACAAAACACTCTGCATGTGCTGTGTCATTATTCTTGGCGTTTTACCCCGGCCGCGTCATACCAAAAGACGTTAAAAGATGGTATTTGTTGTTACCCTGTCTGGCGCTCGGCATTAAGGGGCTGAAACAAGGACTGGTCGGCTCGGAGTCAGTATACTGTGTCTGAGTGGGGTATTCATATTAAACTGCGGCATGGTATCTCAGTGTGCTAGCACTATAAATCGGCATCAGTCCGGACTAGTACAAGCAGCCACACACACACACACACACACACACACACACACACACACACGTCGCTATAAAAGTGCAATAAACTTGGACGCGACGTTAAAGCCCATTTCACCTCACAGCACCTTAGCGTTTTACATGCGGAAAAAGTATGTTAATAGTTGCTTTTCGAACTTAGTGAGTGAGTGAGTTAATATTTCAGCCATATCGTGACGAGAAGTTACATTTCGAACTTAGTCAAGCAACTTAAGTAAATATTGATATGAAAGATAAGCAGAGATAAGTAGGCTAGTATGTATGCATGTAAATTAAATATAATTATATCTGAAATCAAAATGTGTAATGCAAGCCTTGTGTTGTTAAGGGGATGGAAACACACGAATAATCGTGTATTGTCATTCTTAGAAAATATGAAGTGCAAATGATTTCCACGGTATTTGAAGTGCTTATTAAGCACATTTATTTTGAGTTTAGGTTTCCATAAACCTAATAATATGTCACACCCACTGTTTATTCCTGATTGACTGATAATTGTTTGGTCGAGGGTTGTGATGAACTATCTTGCGCTGACTTATTTATTTACTAGAATTGACGGAAGCAAACGTTTTCAAAATTGATTTAGTCAGTTCTTAAATAATCGAAGTCCAATGCATATTTTTTTAATTAATATTACTCGCGTGAGAATCACCAGTCTCGATTGTCCGACGAAACAGATTCCATTGGGCGTAAAAATGGCGGTGAAAATTATGTGAATGGATCACTAATTAGTGATAACACCAGGTGTTCGCTAATAGGGTAAGCGTGAACAGGTCAGGAACCTGATGTTCTGAATGAGGGAATCAGTAGCATAAATTCATATTCTCTGAAGTGGGAACCAAACAATTGTTTTTGGACCTATTATATATTGCAGTGAACGACCAGTGGAATAATCTTTTCAGTTACAGATTCACTTAAATTATTGAACAGGCGTGGCGAAAGGAATAAAAAATATCTGTTTTAAATATTCCAATCTTAATCCACATTTCCGAAATATTGTGAAGATCATTTAATCAATAAATACATAATTATTTTGTTACAGAAAATGAATTGTTAGCCAACTACACTTCCATATACAAATTTCTTTCAGAACATCTTTTGTAACACTTATTTGTGACCCTCGAATCGAGGTGAACTTCACGGTGCAAGGCGAGCATCCCCGCGAAATATGTAAGTAGCTGATCACCCAACAGTCCACTTTCATAAAGGTTCAATCTTTTACTGTTTCGATGCCTCTCTTTGTGTAGATCTGACAAACCGGCCACGTCGGAGTACAGCATCTAAGTTTAAAAGGATTGCCACACCAACTTGATGCATTTGACGCTGTTTTGTATATTTCAGTTCAATGACTACATGTTTGCTTCATGTTTGTTTGTTTGTTGTTTTACGCCGCACTCAGCAATATTCCAGCTATATGATGGCGGTCTGTAAAATCGTGTCTGGACCAGACAATCCAGTGATTGACATCATGAGCATCGATCCTTGTAATTCGGATCGATGACATGTATCAACCAAGTCAGCGAGCCTGACCACCCGATCCCGTTAGTCGCCTTTTACGACAAGCATAGTCGCCTTGTACGGCAAGTATGGGTTGCTGAAGACCTATTCTACCCCGGAATCTTCACGAGTCTGTTTGCTTCATGATAGACAAAGGATCACACTGAGGGCGAATCGGGAATTCGAACCCATGACCAATGTAACCAAGCGATTCTAGATCATTGTCATATATAATGTAAGGTCAGTTCCCCCGAGGACAGTTAAGGGGGAGGTTTTCCGAGGGCAATTGCCCTGTTTGCCCTGATATCATGAGGTCTTGTACCTTACCTCGAATGGCTGACGGTTACTTGTTATGGATATAAACTCCCCATGAGGTCTCGACGGAGACTGTAAGCCCGGGGATGGGGGAAATAGGGGAGGGCCGAAGGGGGAGTTTATATCCTACTTACGAACCGTCTAAATGCCAGAAAATACCAGGAGAAATAAGAAAACATCGACATACTTTATAGTGAAACTATACAGTGTATCGCGGTATCAAAGTAATTCGCTCAAAGCGTGCGAGAGAAAAAACACGTGCAGCCTGTAGTCTTGATGGAGTCATGACTTGATAATCTAAACAAATTCTCATCGCCTCCCCAGAAGCTCAGTGGGAAAACAGTGGGTTACAAATATGTGAGGTTGCAGGTTCGATTCACGTCATGGATTGTTTATGTCTCAATCAGTTTCTGACTTTTAACCAATCACACAATTGTGTTCACATCAAGAGAAAAGTTTGTAAAACGTTAAATTTCGCGGAATGCCCGCTTACCTGGGCATACTTTAGCTGGAATGCCCTTACCCGGGCATTCTGAGGGAATAACTTTTAACCAATCACACAATTGTGTTCACATCAAGAGAAAAGTTTGTAAAACGTTAAATTTCACGGAATGCCCGCTTACCTGGGCATACTTTAGCTGGAATGCCCTTACCCGGGCATTCTGAGGGAATAACTCCTTAACGGGTTTACCCGAGAAAAGTCGAACATCGTTGGAGGTTTATAAGGCGAATTATACGCTTTAGACTGGGTCACCTCTCCTTGTCGTGGGTTCGAATTCCTGATTCGGACCAAAAATGTTGCTTGGCCTGTCATTACCATACCTATGCTCGTGGTTTTAACCGAAGCTGCAAGCATCAACAACACCTGTTGCTTTTGGCTTCATTTCAATAAACTCCAAACTCAACAATAACTCATATTTGATCAACTGAATCAACAACCAGCACTAACTCCACCCCAACCGCCTCCATTCTCCATTACCCCCCACCCTAACCCCCACTACCCCTACGTCTACAACTGTGAAATCGACATTGTGTCATGTGAGTGAATGTACGTACAGTTTCGGTGTGATTATCATGCATGATTTTGAAAATTCCATGACATTTTTACTTCAATGTAATTTTTAATGTTGCACTGGAATTTTCACATACACACGTACCTCTAGGAATATAACATCACAGCGGTGTTCTCAATAATTTGCTTCACGCATTTCGCATGGTCATTAATGGACGCGTAAAACATGTATACCTTCAACCCGCTACCCTTGCCCTCCATTACACCGCGCAACACGAGTCTGACTCTTAATCCTTCAAGTTGTCCCGCGATGATTTACCAAGTTGAACGTTGAAGTGGCCCATGGCCTTCGAGACGACATAGATTGCAATACCTGATGGTATAACAGCTTTAGCTACCGTTTTACTGATAATATATTCACGAGTCCTGAATTCACGAATACTTGTGACATCAACATTTGCATTGCTTCAACCGCTTTCTAAACAGCAACCAGACGACCAAAGAAACATAACCAAAACATTCCAACAAAAGCCTGAGCCATTTTATTGGTCCAAGTTACATAGATAGAGCCAAATAGGTGATTTTCGGCTTTGAACAGGATCAGAGGTGCTGTTGGATATGTAGGATGATTTCCTTCAGGACTCGAAATTTTCCGCTCCAATCGATGATGACGTGACAACGGACATGGTGAAGGACAAAATGGCTATTCTCAAACTCATCGTCAAGAATACCATGGTGACAAGACAGAAGTTGTGCAGACGGTTTTCAGTATCACCAGCGGGTCTGTCCGGTCTGTTACAGGCCATTTAAATTTACATTTTGTATGTCATGAGAAATCGCAGACAGAATTTCAATCTCATTAAAATCAGATCTTAGTTCTCGCTACCGCTAAACAAAGATCTGAGGACATCCCATTACGGGTCATGTCAGACCGACTATTCGCGAACTTTGACCGACCAATTAAATGACTGACAAGAAGTCGACATTAGCCCATCAGAATGCAACTTTCTCGTGCTTACGGCACTAATTTCAAACTGGCGACTACGCTTCGAGACATATTTTGACAAATTCTTGATTAAAAATTTGAAACCTGAACACAGGAACATTCTGGAATGGCTAATAGATGGTCTAGATTGTATTGGTTCAGTCGTTAAGCCTGTAACTATCGTTCGGAATAACCCGTAATAAAGTTTTCTTTGTTTAGCAGTAGCGAGAACTTAGATCTGATTTTAATGAGATTAACAGAAATTTGGACTATTCCACGTGGGTCTGTTCTGTGGTCCTTGACATAAAAGGAGCCACTTCATCCGACTTCCTCGTAGAATATATCAGTTGTCGATCAGCTACGCACTGAAATAAATAAAGAGATTATCATTTATAATGATCGCAAATAGTTGTGAAGGTTGGTGCCTTTGTCATACTGTTACAGAATGTTTCACTGTTGTTCCCCTGGACTTAAGCAATATTTCACTCCTACTTTGGCCTGATGTTCCCTCCTAAAATCTGCCCCGTTCTCGTTGTTGCTGTCTAACCTTTCCAACCACAGGTAGTAAGCACTTTGTTACATACATTTTGTTATTACCATGATTCGCCAAAAAAATTTGACTTTGATAATTAAAGGCCAGGATGAACATATTCCATTGTTATTGGTGCTGTAACGTCTGACATACTGTTTACGTGGAGTTCAACCCGACGAACCTACTCCTGTGCTGAAGTCAGTACAACGGAAACTGAACATTGACTTACATGATACACCCAAGATGTATACGGACAACAAGTAGAGGCAATTAGGCAGTGACCCGGGCGCGGCGTCCGTGGGCGGGAATGACGTTCGGGGCATGGGTGATGTGGGGTTGGGTTTCAAACAAGCGTTGCTTGACGTCAGCGTGAAAAACTGAAAAGAAATTAACTTGTTCGGTACGTTTATTGAAATAGGAGCAAAGCGGGTGGACGTCGTTGATGCTTGCACCATGAGCATATGTATGGTAATGACAGACCAAGCATCATCACGGGGCCGAATCTGGAATTCGAACCCACGTCAAGGAGAGTTGGCGCAGTGATTTAAGGCGTTGCAAATCGCGATGTGTGTTAGATAATACGATATGTAAGTTAATTAGAGACAGAATAGGTCATCAGCAACCAAGGATTACCCTAAAAGTCGACTATGCGTGTCGTAAGAGGCGACTAACGGGATCAGGTAGTCAAGCTCGATGACTTGATTGATGCATGTCATCGATCCAAATTGCATGGATCGATGCTCATGATGTCAATCAATGGATTATCTGGTCCAGACTCGATTGTTTACAGACCGCCGTCATATAGCTGAGTGCGGCGTTAAACAACAAACAAACAAGATGTTGTTATATGTTATCCGATATGGCCGGTTTGACAGATCTACACTCAGAGAGGCAAAACGGAGTAAATATTTGACTTTAACTAAAACTTTAAGGAATGATGATCAGCTTCTTACATAATTCGCGCTGCCCTGGGGATTCTCTCCTTGTGCCGTGAAGTTTCCCGGTTCATTCGGGTCACAAACAAGTGTTACAGTAGATGTTCTGAAAGAAATACACGCATGTAGTTAGTTCGGTTAACTTGCTCCAGAACCGTGAAGATCCGGGTTAGAATAGCTCTTCAGCAACCCCTGCTTGCCATAAAAGGCGACTTTGCTTGTTGTCATGATCAGAGGCGACTAACGGGATCCGATGGTCAGACTCGATGACTTGGTTGATGCATGTCATCGTATCCCAATTGCGTGGATCGATGCTCATGATGCCAATCACTGGATTGTCTGGTCCAGACTCGGTTATTTCCAGACCACCGTCATAGAGCTGGAATATTGCCGAGTGCGGCGATAAACAACAAGCAAACAAACGAAACTTGCTCCAGCACAACGGACCTGTGTAAATGTAATTGGATTATGATCATTTTTTAAATAAATATCATTTATTGGTTTTACAGATCTGCCTTCCAAACATTTTAGAAATGTTGATTGCGTTTGGATTGTTTATAACATATATATTTACTTCCCCCAAGTATGCTCATGAAGTTTTCTTCATGGTGAATTTCAAAACAAGGAACAAATACTTCTGTGAAAATTCCTATCTGACATTTCGTTGACATTTTTGAAAACGTATGTTATGCTACTGATATATTCTTCGGCCGTAGTGTTCCCTGGCGACTCCTGGTTTGTTTATTTTACTTGTCATAAACACAGCCATTTCATGGAATTCTCGTAGAGCAATACTTCCGATTTCGATTATATTTAAGGCCATGCGTTCTATCCGTTACTGTCTTAATTACATGTTTTCACATTTTCCTTTATCCTAAATTAAAGGTTCTGTTTCATTCTTTCCATTTTCATTATATTCGTTTGGTTTTCTTTTACATTGATGCATGCCATCTTATCCGGTATAAAACCGAACTCAAACACTCCGCGACCCGTGAAGATCCGGGGTAGAATAGGTGTTCAGTAACCCATGCTTGCCGTAAAAGGCGACTATGCTTGTAAAAGGGGACTAACGGGATCGGGTGGTCCGGCTGGCTGACTTGGTTGAAGCATGTCATCGATATCAATTGCATGGATCGAGGGTCATGATATCAATCACTGGAGTGTCTGGTCATGACTCGATTATTTACAGACCGCCGTCATATAGCTGGAACATTGCTGAGTGCGGCATAAAACAGCAAATATTATATTTGTCAGGTAAAAAACATAGAGTTGTCAGAACACAAAGTGCGGTTACGTACAAGTCTAAAAAATGCATCCATTTACTGACTTGTTGATAAGGTGTGGTGAGGTAAATAGGGTTTAACGTCGCGTCCAAGAATACAAATATTTCACTTACAAAACGCTGTGCATGCACTTGTGTGTGTGCGTGTGGCTGCTTGTACTAGTACGGATTAAATCCGATTTCTTAGTGCTAGCTCACTGAGACACATGTCGCAGTTTAACATGACTGCCCATCTAAGTCACAGTATACTGACTCTAAGCCGGCCAGTCCTGATTTAAGCCTCTTAATGACGAGCGCCAGCAGGGTAACAACAAGTACCATATTTTAACGTCTTTTGGTATCACGCGGCTGGGGATCAAATCCCGGACCTTCCGCTCTCCGGGCGGACGCTCTACCACTAGACCACGGAGGCGGTCGACTTGTTGATAAAGTAATGTGGATGTGTATCATATATGTGTTTTCATTGTATTGGAACGTATCATGTACCTTCGTTACGTTTTTGAATAAGTGAATAAGTATCATTTTTTACTCTATAGCCACCTTCATCTGTAACACCCCCAACACCAAAAATCGTCAAAAATGTCGAGTCTCAGACTTCCATAATAACACCTGAACCAGAACCAGTTAAACTTACAAACAGGGAAAAGAAATTATTGAAAAAGAAGCAGCTGAGAGAACAGCTGCAAACACCAAAGGCCACCTCTCCTCTAGAGGTCCATAACTCCTTTGGTCCTCTGGACACTGAGGTAACTCCATCTCCACATGATACCGATAGGAGTACAACAAAGTCTTCCTCACGTTCGCATGACATTTCTCCTGTGGAAGCCCCACCATGAATCCACAAAACATTGTACAATGGAATTGCAGAGGTCTTAGGAAGAATTTTAATGAAATACAACTTTTGATCCAAGATTTTAAACCGTCAGCTTTTTGTCTCCAAGAAACACACAGATCTATTTGATATCCGTCAGTACAGTTCTTACCACTCGTTTTCCCCTCCTGGTGATAAAGCTACAGGAGGTTCTTCTATCCTGGTGAAGCAGAGCATAATCCATAGCCCTGTTCCACTCAACACTACTCTTCAAGCTGTTGCTGTCCGTGTTACTTTGAACATATTGTTTACATTGTGTTCACTGTATCTTCCACCTTCCTCAACTATCCGTCAATTAGATCTTCAGACTTTGTACGATCAGCTCCCGAAGCCCTGTATCATCATGGGCGATTTAAACGGTCATAATCCCCTATGGGGGAGTACTGACATAAATAATAAGGGAAAAGTCCTTGAAGATTTTATCTCAAACAATGATTTATGCATCTTCAATGATGGTAATACCACATATCTTCATCCCGCCACTGGCACATACTCTGCCCTTGACCTTTCACTGACAGATTCAAATATTTTAAATGAATTCGAATGGTCGGTCCATGATGATCTTTGTGGAAGTGACCATTTTCCAACAATACTTACAACTATAAATCCGTCTGACGAACCACCTTCAACAAGGTGGAACTTTACAAAGGCCGATTAGTCTTTATTCCAAACACTGTGTTCTGAAAAACTAAAACCCGAAAGTTTCAGGAATGTTCCTGATCCTATACAACTTTTCTCAGATATATTGAATGCTATTGGAGACGAAAGCATTCCTAAGTCCTCTGCAAACCCCTATATACGTAAACCATGGTTCGATAATAATTGTAAACAAGCTAGGAAAAATAGGAAGAAAGCTGAAAAATATTTCCGACGCCACCTACTGTCCACAATTTGAATAACGTTAAAATCACGGGCGCTAAAGCGAGACGTACGTTTAAACAAAATAAACGTCAATCCTGGAGGAACTATGTTTCAAAAATTAATTCCCGCACACCTATGTGTGGAACATGATTCAAAAGATTAAGGGAAAAGGGTCAAAATCTAGAGTTCACCATCTCAAAGATGGTAATACACTTTTAACTACTAAAACTGAAATAGGCAACAAACTTGGTGACACTTTGGCAAATCATTCCTCATCATCAAACTATAATCCTCAATTCCAGAGGTTTCAAAAACAGCAGGAAAAGAAAACAGTAAATTTAAACTCTGATAATGGTGAGGACTACAATGAAACATTTTCACTCCATGAATTATATACTGCCCTAGGGCAATCTCATGACACTGCAGCAGGAGCCGACAACATCCACTATCAGCTCCTGAAACACTTGCCCGATTCATGTTTGGAAACTTTACTTAATATATTTGATGAAATATGGACAAGCGGAAATTTCCCTCCTTCGTGGCACAATGCTATTATTATTCCTATTCCAAAGCCTGGACGGGATCACACAGATCCATCCAACTACCGTCCAATATCATTAACTAGCTGTGTTTGTAAAACCATGGAGCAAAGGTCAACAATCGATTAGTCTGGTACCTGGAGACCAATAACCTCCTGAGGGACATCCAGTGTGGTTTCCGAAAAAACAGAAGTACCATTGACCATTTGGTACGTTTAGAATCGTTTATTAAAAATTCCATTGTCAACGAACTGTATCTAGAAAAAGCATATGATACAACGTGGAAACATGGTATTTTAAAAGATTTGCATGAATTTGGATTGAGGGGCAGATTACCTCAGTTCATATCTCAATTTTTAAACAACAGACAATTTCAAGTACGAGTAGGCTCTACCCTGTCAGATCAATTTGATCAAGACCAGGGCGTCCCTCAAGGCAGCATACTGTCAGTCACCCGTTTCAGCATCAAAATTAATAGTCTCACTAAAGTATTAAACAATAGCGTTGATGGTTCACATTTTGTGGACGATTTCAACATTTCTTGTCGTGGTAAGAATATGAATACAATAGAAAGACAGCTACAGCTCTGTCTTAACAAAATTCAAAAATGGGCTAATGAAAACGGCTTCAAATTTTCTAAATCCAAAACAAACTGTATTCACTTTTGTCGTAAATACAAACCTCACAAGGATCCTGATTTATTTTTAGATGGTACTCATATCAAGGTAGTAGAGGAGGCCAAATTCCTGGGCCTCATATTTGACCGTCATCTCACATTCTTACCACACATTAAATATCTCAAGGCAAAATGCCTGAAGGCTCTCGTCTTGTTAAAAGTCGTTTCAAATTCCGAGTGGGGAGGGGATCAGACCACCCTCCTTCACTTGTACAGATCGTTAATACGTTCCAAACTGGACTATGGTTCCATTGTCTATGGGGGAGCCTGCAAAAGCAATTTAGAAAAATTGGACACTTTACACCATCAAGGCCTAAGACTCTGTCTTGGAGCGTTTAGGACCTCTCCCGTGGACAGTTTGTATGTGGAGGCCGATGAACCTTCACTCGAACTGCGCCGCATTAAACTTTCACTGCAATATATCACTAAATTGCACTCAAATAAATCTAATCCAGCATACAATTGTGTGTTCCACCCTCAATATGAAAACTTGTTTCAAAATCTATCAAACCTGGTTCCACCACTTGGAATCAGAATTCAACCACACATCACTGCAGCTAAATTGGATTTAAATATCGTATCACCTCACCGTCTTCTGTCTTCTCCTCCCTGGCAGATGGTGAAGCCAGAAGTAGACCTCACTCTAACCAATCTAAAAAAGTCGGATACCAATCCTTTGGTATATAAACAATCATATAACCAATTACGCTCAAAATATAATTATCACAGGTCCATTTTTACAGACGGGTCCAAGGATGGTGGCAAAGTTGCAAGTGCCACCATCATTGAATCCAGAACTGTCTCCTCAAGAATACCAGATACAAGTTCATTTTTTACTGCTGAGGCCAAAGCTATCTTTACAGCTTTGACCTATATCAATCATCAAAACCAATCTAAAAATTTCATCATTTTCTCCGATTCATTGTCATGCCTTCAGGCACTTAAAAGTGTCTCCTCAAATAATCCTATAATCCTTGACATTTTAGAACTCTACAATGATCTTTCTACTGGCCAATGTGACATCGTCTTTTGCTCGTTACCAAGTCATGTAGGCATAACAGGTAACTCAAAAGCCGATACTGCAGCCAAAAGCAGCTCTTGACAAACCGTTATCTCCACTTCTGATCCCGTACAGTGATTTCAAACCAACCATCAAATCTTATACTCGGGATCTCATGCAAAAGAGGTGGGACACCCAAGTAGGAAGCAATAAACTACACGAATTGAAACCAACAATCGGTCATACCTACTTGGGTTGTCAGTCAAGACATGACGAGGTCGTTTTACGACGGTGTCGTATTGGCCACAGTCGGTTTACACACGAATATCTGCTTAAGACAGATGAGGACGAACCTCCTATGTGTATCCCTTGTGATGAAAGGTTCACCGTCAAGCATATATTGCTTGACTGGGTGGACTTTGCAATCGCAAGGTATTCACATTATCAAAGTGTAAATTTAAAAGATCTCTTTTCCCGTGTCAGCGGGCATCTCATCATAAATTACTTGAAAGAAATTGGTCTGTATAATAAATTTTAAATATGTATGTAAATGATTAAATGCTTGTTTTTAAATTTGGTGTGATGCTATTAGCAACTGACATTATTAAAGGCTCTGTCCAGGAGGTTAACGTAGTGTAAAAATATTGTCCCCCTGTGTGACACGTAATCCTATCATAATCGATGTAACTATCATCAACCAGTGTTTTTAAGCCAACTCATTGATGAGTATTTTTTCATATTGGCTAGTATTGTGCACAACCATCAGTGACTAAAGTGATGACGTAAATCCTGCTGGGGTATCATGCAGGAAGCAGAGGTACTGTAAGTCCCCATGATCCCCAGCGAGGTGGTCTAGCTTTGGTTACTGGTGGCCTATAGCCTGTGTTTTAAACTGTATTAATGATATTGTTATGCTCAAATATGTTTCATCAATTGTTTTTAAATATAGTATGCTCCAATATCTTTCATCAATTGTTTTTGAATATGACATTGCATAAATAACAAAATTGTGTATATAGTAGCTTGGTCTCGTCGCTATATGGCTGAAATAATGCCGATGCGACGTTAAATTTTAACTCACTCACTCAATCACTATAGCAAAAAACAAACTTGTGGCGTGAACAAACCATAACTGAACCTGGGTTTGAGCCAATGCTTTAACCACTAGGCTACCCAAACGCCACGATATACTGATGAGTGGAACTATCATCTACCAGCCACTGGTGTGTCTGGTTGAGACTCGATTATTGTTTGGTTGGTTTGTGGTTTAACGCCGCACTAGGAACTATTCCAGCAATATGACGGTGGTCTGTAAATAATAGAGTCTGGACCAGACAATCCAGTGATTGATATCCTGCGCATCGACATGCAACAACCAAGTCAGCGAGCCTGACCACCCGATCCATTAGTCGCCTTTTACGGCAAGCAAGGTTTGGCAGCCAAAGACATATTCTACTCCGGATCTTCACGGGTCGACTCGGTTATTGACGGCTTCAAAGCAGAAATATAGCTGAGTGTGCCGTAAAACAGCCTTCACTTACTCGCTCTACCCAAAGACGGAATCTGTGAAAGGTTTACCTTGTAGGACTGCCAAGTGATGTATATACCACCTGCCATCCGTTGGTTGAGTTCGCGAATACTGTCGAGTTCGCGAATACTGTCGAGTTCGCGAATACTGTCGAGTTCGCGAATACTGTCGAGTTCGCAGCTCCTAGGCTGAAGGACATCGTCGAATTGTCAGTCTGACACACCTACAAACAACAACGTCAGATGAAGTGAATTGCTTCAGATCCAAAGCAAATGGTAACCATGGAGCGAAAATGATTGTTATCATATATGTGAAGAGTGACAGTCAAGAACCTGCATCGTTTTGGGCTTTCCTCCGGCCCTTTGGGCTTTCCTCCGGCCAAATGCTGCACCGCAGTGATTTTACAGTTAAAATACTGTTGAAAGTTGTTGATGTATGAAACATAACAAGTATATTTTTAAAGACGACTTGAATCCTCGCATTCTGTGAGTCAATTTTCTACAATTGTGAGAGGAAAACACATTTCCTGTCAATATATTTTACGCACGCTTCAGTGACTATTGCGGAGTGTGTTCGTTTCGTTTGTTTGTTGTTTTACGCCGCACTCAGCAATATTCCAGCTACATGACTGCGGTCTGTAAATAATCGAGTCTGGACCAGACAATCCAGTGATTGATATCATGACCCTCGATCCATGCAATTGATATCGATGACATGCTTCAACCAAGTCAGCCAGCCTGACCACCCGATCCCGTTAGTCCCCTTTTACAAGCATAGTCGCCTTTTACGGCAAGCATGGGTTACTGAACACCTATTCTACCCCGGATCTTCACGGGTCGCGGAGTGTTTGAGTTCGGTTTTATACCGTATTCAGCAATAGTTCAGAAATATTACGGCTTTAAATTTTGTATTCGCGTTGGTAACCGAACAAACGCTTCAACTACAACGCTGTCTCATGGCCCCCGGTCATAGCGGCGTTAAAATTCATCTATTTGCACATTCGTACAAATGTACCACGTTGCCAATCTTATGTACTCATATTCTATGTAATATATAATTTATGTCAGTCGTAAGCTTATGTGTGCTCATACGCTGGCACGCCGAAACGCTGAAACACACACAGTATATATACTTTTATCATATAATGGGTAGGTTTCTCGGCAGGATAAAAACGATATCCGTTGGGGTCATATGCCGATAGAGATGCAAATATCAAAGGTCAAGTAGGGACTACTTTCACTGTTTATTAACAAACACGGCGTCGCCTTCGTCATTCGGCGATCGAGTCAGAATTAACCATCGGGAATCTGGATAAAATACAGGGATAATTGCTATCATTATCAAAAGAACAGTCTAATATACTGTAAATAAGTGTCTAACTGTGACGTAGCTAAGGCATTTTATAAGTTTTGGCAACTTTGGAGATATAAATTTCGAAACAATTTTGCGAGGGCACGAGGCCTAGCCAAGCGGGATCAGTAGCCATATCTGTTCTTTTGGACCTCTGCGGCTTGAAAACTTCTCCACAAATTAAAATGGTTGGTTTTGGCCGAAATAAGATGTGTGTACATCTGACTACACTTTTTAACGTTATGACAGGACAGACCGACTGTCAACAACGTCTGACCGTGGTCGTGACGTCTCAAAGACTAGGGTAAGAGTAACTTCCCTTTGACAAAGGGCAGTTACTCTGTCGGACAGACCGATGGATTGCCGCCAAAGGCAATTAAAAACAATTGTTGTACAGTTTTGCGTATATGTTGCTTCGCAACTGTATAAAAAAACAGATTTCAGTTGGCTACTGTCACTGTCCGACTGACACATCACTTACCCTGCGACGTAATAAATATTAATGCGCGCATTCCAGGAAAACTCGCAATGTTTCGGTAATGTTTGTGAGAGAGGGAAAGCGATTTTGAAGCACAGAATTAAATAATGACATTATATGATAAAGAGGTTATCACGCTTGTATATTTGAATCCCAGCATTTCTGTAAGATTCAATAATGACAGGGAAACATTATTTCCTTGCATTAACCATTGACGAGTGAGTGAGTTGGGTTTAACGCCGCTTCTTGCAACATTCCAGTTTTATCACTATGTGTCAGCTTAATGTGGGAAGAGGGTATGAGTGAGTTGGATTTAACGCCGCTTTTAACAGTATTCCAGTTGTATCGCGGCATGTGGGAGGAAAGCCCCAAGTGATGCAGGTCTCAGACGTTTACCACTTCGGTGAAACCCACAATCACGGGTATGGTGCCGACAAACCTAGAAACATAATTGGGGCGAACCGGGATTCGCACCCACAATCATAGGTTTCTGGCGTGCCCAAGGGACGCAAGTCTGCACAGTGATCCGCGACGACTTAGACGAATGGGCCACCCGTGCCCCCAATGTGGGAAGAAAGCCGAATTGATGCAGGTCTCAGACGTTTACCACTTTGGTGAAACCCACGAGCACTGGCTTAGAGCTGACAGACCTACGAACATAATCGGGGCGACCCGGGGTTCGAGGCCAAAATCGTAGGTTTCTGGCGTACCAAAGGGACGCAACTCTGCACAGCGAATGAATAAGTTTCCAATAGCCCAATACACAGCCACCTCAGAAGTAAATTGTTGGTGTATTGAACAATACACCGAGGAAAGTACATCCTCGATAATACATAGTAAAGAAACTATTATTTTCCAATTTTTATGTCAAGTACAATGGACCCTTTCACTACCATCGTGACGTCCCCAGCTCTTCTCCCTAATGGGTAAGAAACGTACAAAAATATTCTCGCTCACGGATGTTTTTTGATGGAATGGCTATTTTAGCGTGTATTTCCTAACGGACTCAAATCGAGGCTATATCGGAGAATGAGTCGAGGGTATTTATCAGAATATGACGGATATATAATACACTGAGAAAGTACAGGAATAATTAATTTTATACCCCGTTCTTGGTGATGTAAACGTATCACGGGAAGGAAAATAATTGAATTATAACACAAATCACAACAACAAATTAACGTAATTAGAGATTCTGACAATACTAGAAAAAAATCATGGCGAAACAGGGATTGGTAACACTATCAGAGGTTTCTGGTGCGCCATAGGGACGCAACTCTCCACAGTGAAATGTAGCGCTTGAAGCGATTGGACCACGACCACCCGTGCCCTCATAAAGCACTACTTGACGAAGAATTATATAAATTTACCGCAACGTCTTGACACGGGCCAGACCCCTTTGAGAAGCCATCACAAGGGTTGTAGGAGTAAAACAAGGCACCAGCTGGACCTGGCACGTCTTGGAACCTGTAGCGAAAGTCAATAACAGTGAGTGGGTGGGTGAGTGAGTAAGTGGGTCAGTGGTTGAGTGAGTGAATGTGTGGGTGGAATGTTGAGTAAATGAGTTCATTGTGGCTGGTTGGTTGTTTGTTTTACGCCGCACTCAGCAATATTCAAGCTATATGACGTCGGTCTGTAAATAATCTAGGCTGGACCAGACAATCCAGTGATTGATATCATGACCATCGATCCATGCAATTGGGATCGATGACATGCATCAACCAAGTCAGCGAGCCTGACCACCGGATCCCGTTAGTCGCCTTTTACGACAAGCATAGTCGCCTTTTACGGCAAGCATGGACTGCTGAAGACCTATTCTACCTCGGAATCTTCACAGGTCAGCTTAATGTGGGAGGAAGGCTCGAACTGATACAGTGAAAACCACGAGAACGAGCTGGCAGTTAAAAGATATAAAAGTCAAGACGAACCAGGAATTCATAGATCATGGTACACCTGAGAGACGCTCATGCCTAAACATTTGAGTCAAAAAGAGAATAATTGAAAAAGTAATTTCTTGCAGTGCTTATTTAAAGCATAAGGTGAGATTTAAATGTGACTATGGTTGTTTCCTATATTTCCTCTGTTGTTTGTTTGTTTAATGTCAACTCAATATTCAAGGTAAAGACAAACAATAAAACACCGTATGTTTTACTGACGACACCCCTGGTGTGTTTTGGAAGGTGGATAAAGCACACTTCGCTGTTTAACGCCGCACTCAGCAATATTCCAGCTATATGACGGCGGTCTGTAAATAATCGTGTCCAGTTCAGTTCAGTTTCCACCGTTGCCGAAATAACCCCAGGTCCCCGTGGGGGGTGGGGGTTGTAATTTGGCTCAGGTCAGAGTTAACAGTGACCGCTAAACATTTGAACTGGCAATGTATGGAAAATTACATTTTGGTTTTAGTAATATAAATGATGCTTTGATGGATTCCGAACCATAACTGACCTGGGTGTTCCGTTTCTGCTGGCGAGAGGTGAAAGGTCTAAAAGTCCTTGAGAAGTCTGGCAAGCACAAGGACTGATCTGCGTGCAAGTCTCAGACAAACACGGCGAGACGAGCACAATGCCTATGAAGCATGCTACAGCCGCTGTTGGTATCATCCTGCGATCCGACATCTGTGAGTGATGTGACCAGGAAGTTATGAAACTATTATATAGCAACTGGCCATGTCACGTGGTGGAGTACGTATACACACTGCAAACACGAAAACCTCAGGTTTTTTCCGTATATGGTCATTGGACGGAAAAACAACTAAAAATTCATTAAATTTGATTAATTGGTTAGCGTCTATCAAGTGTCCGGAAAAGTGTCGAGTTTTTCAAGCGTAAAATGGGCGGAAAAACGATGCTTTTTGCTCCGCCTTGTACAACTGTTAACGGCCAATCAGATGGCGCTGGTCCCCCGACGCACGTGATGCCTAAGGCTTCCTATCGGAAGCATTAGGTTTCGTATTTCTGGCATGTCTTGCTCTAGTATCTGTCGAGCGCAGTGCAGCGAGATTTGCTGATAAGTCAGTTTTAGTATATGTGACGCGTTAATGGAATTCAGACACGCGCCAAGAAGTCAAACCAAACCATGTTACCAAGTTTATTGAGATTACATATCCCTCCGCTATCCCTCCGGACGCGAGGTGGGTCACATAACGTTTTTCACGTGACTGTATTCTTGACATGACGTAAACACTGACTACTTCCACATTCCTGGGGAAAACCCTGGGAATTCCCTTGTACGAATTCATACAGAAGCGCTAGTTGTCATCATTTAGACCCTTTAATTTTGAACGTAGCGTCTTAGCATACTCCGGGATAAGTCAAAGAGTTTGGTTGCATGCCCGTTCAAGGACACCCTCGCTACAACCCATCCTAGAGAAAAAAAACACCCAAAAATCCAAACTATCGTAGTGACAATCTACAGCAATCTATGAATTTACCTTAGTATCTATTTGACACATCTTTATAATCACCTTTCAATGATCGGCCAATTGATCAGTGATGACAAAGGCTTGAAATCGCCACAGGTTAATTAACAATTTCGGAAATATCTCCCGTCACGTTTATCGTGTCGGTCGTTTTGACGTCTTGTACTTGATGTAAATGTATTACGACGCTCTGTCATTGTGATTGACTTACTGAGGTAGTTCTTAACAGACCTTCTCATCTAATGAGGATATTTTTTGGAATACATTTCATTTAAACAAACTAGGAATCTGGGGAACTATTTTATTCCGGAATGGCCTATTAAAGCTAACAGTAGGTCAAGGCACCATGGGTGTATATGATCTGTTGTTATATGTGTTTAACAAATACGGTTTGGGGCGTTAATAAAATACACTGACGCAAGTATATTCTAATCAAATCAGTTGAATAATTGAATATGCCTTATTTTACATATTACATAACATCACTTCACAAAATTTGGACACTTGCAGTAACACACTACGGTGATCGCATTAAACACCACTTTGAACAGTATTTCAGTTTTTAACGGTGTATCAGACTGATGTGGGGTAAAAATCCGAAATGGTTCAGGCCATCCAACGGGTGTTCGCGAAGAGGTGAGCGTATCCTGCCACACAGATGGCACCCGTCACAACCACATGCAAGGACAAGTCAATTGTTCGCATGAACAAAGCACGGATACACACAATGATGCCCGTCCTCACTATTACCTAGCATGTAATTTATATTGTCCGTCAAAAACATGGACGAGTATAAACAATATGTTCCTACAGGTAATACATGTCATACATTTGACAAAATGTATTGACTCAGAGAATTATTGTTAATCACAGCGTATAGATTCGGTATGCAGATGAACTCATCACCCATCCCAATATTGATAATCCTTCTTGAAGAGCTATGAAATAAGAAGCTGCTATAGCGCATTTTTACACTTTATCTTTTAATTGGCATGTTAGACTTCTATTTCAGAACTCAGTTATATTTGCACGGATCAGTATGGAATCTTGGAAGGGACATTGTCGCGTTGTCGTATTGTCGCATTGACGCCCTTACAAAAACAAGCAAAACGTGTCAAAATTAACGAATCCACGACAATTCGACAACGCGACATTTTGGACATTTGTCGTGTTGTTGCATTGTCGCTCTCTGAATAATCTTTTTATATTTTACAATCGGGCGACAATGCCGTAACGCGACATTTTCAATGTCAAAATATGTCTCGTTGTCGCCCCATCACAAATGTTTATAAAATGCGTAAAGTTCAGTTAATGTTACAGTTAGGAAGCGATTACCAAGTTATATCTGTCGTAGAAGTTCAACTTGATACATGTACGTCTTGAATTGAAAACACAAGTCCGTCCGCGAGTCCATAACGTTTTATGGGGAACTCTTCTCTATAAGTGCTTAGTGTTCAACTCCCAGTTCCAAACACGTTGTACCTCATCATGTCAGCTGGTCCATATAGAAAAAAGAGTGACTGATAGTAAGTGTTGAACAGACAAATTTCATAGAAATAGACTCAGTTAAAAGCGATTTAAACGACATGTCGTCAAAAGTTGGTGATATGGAGAGACAGTTCGCTGATGTTGTTGCGGGCAAGAAGGACAGTGAGTGCTGCTATGAGAAATTTTCCCCGCTCTAAGGACGAAACAAATGACCCACTAGAGACATGTCGTATGGTCAACAAAGTCATCCGCGACAAGCCGAAACTTCATGATGTCCGTGCAGTACGGAAGAAAAGGAGCGACGCCAAACCTTGTGTTGTTGTGTTTTCGTTGTGACAGTTGAAGGATAGAAAAACTTTTTCAAAGGTTTATATTGATGCTGCCTTGTCACACGAAGAACTTGTTGCCCGGGCCAACATTCTGACTCTGATTAAAAAGATCGGCAAAGACAACACTCTTCGATTCCAAGGGAAGAGATTAATCGCCGGACGAAAAGCCCCATATAAGGCTAGGACTCTGGAACGCGTGTGGATGGACGCAGAAGGATTCCAGTAGCCGTTAATTCAGGGATTGTGTAGTCAAAGATTTCGACCGTGATGTATTCGCGGTATGCGAAAACTTTCTTCAAAAGGACGAAATTTTTTATTTAGATGGGTTTACGTGGCACGGTAACAACAGGAAAAATATTCATAGGAGAACGAAACCGGGCTCCGGCGGAGTCGGCGCATTCTTTAAGAACTCTTTTCTTCAAACTTTTGACGTGAGTGTTTTAGATAATGAACATGAAGACATAATATGGTTTAAACTTAATTCCCATGCGGATTCAGATTTTAGTCTAATTTTATGTGTTTGTTATTTGCCCCCAGAAGGCTCATCTCGAGCTAATGATGCTGAACACTTCTTTGAAACCCTGCTTGAGCAGTTGTACCTTTATCAAAATGAAGGACTGGTATGTTTATGCGGTGATTTCAACTCGAGAGTGGGCGACAAGTGTGATTTCATAGAAGGTGTTGATAATGTAGCTGATAGGGAGGTAATAGATCTAAAATACAACAGATATGGCGATTTATTCATTAACTTTTTAACCGAGTGTAATCCCTGCATGCTGAATGGACGCATAGGTAAACATGATAAAACATACATAAAAAACGGATCTTCCGTGGTTGATTATGTTGTCTCAACTCATGAACTTCTTAGCTTTTTCAGAGATTTCGCCGTCACGCGGTCGTCGTCGTTAGTTACAGGAGGTAACCTGCCGGATACTTTACCTGACCACTCAATACTTACCTGGAACGTGACCGTACCTACCTCTGTGTCTGCAGATGTACACATACGCGCAGCAGCCAACTCCGTCCATGTCTCGCAAACGATACGACGCTGGTAAGATAACCAACTCGTTTTAATCCCAAGACGATGTCATTGGTAAAGCAACAGACGTCATTCATTAAATTGAGAGAGAATTGACTGTTTCAAATAACGTTGACGCTGTGTATGACGAGTTTGTTAGTTTTATGCATCATGAGTTAGATAGCGTGTGTTTAACACGACAGTCAGTAAGGAGAAACCCGAATGCTAAATCTAAATACAAACCTTACTGGTGAAATGAGCTTCAGGAGAAATGGGACGATCTGTGCACGGCAGAACGTATTTGGCGACTCGATACCAGCTGAATCTCTTAAGAATAAAGACTGTATTGACATTCTTTTTAAATTGATTTCTGATTGTTTTAATAACAACGCCTGTCCAGCTACTTGGCGATCAAGCGTTATTAATCCGATTAAGAAACCAAATATGGATCACCGTGACCCACTTGCATAAAGGGGAAGTGGTATAGGTAATGGTGATTCTGGCTCACTTCCACTGGAGCCAGATTTATATACCTATACCACCACTACAGAGGGAATGTTTTATGTCAAAATGATGATGCGCATCAACGATCGTCATGAGTCGTATTAAAAGAAACATCAATATTAATTAATAATGAATAAAATTTACTATAGCCCACGAGGATACTGGAAAGGTATAGGAGCAATACAAAAATTAGCCACTGCGGCTAAGGTATCTAAAGATGTGGCCAAGGATTGGTTAAAGAAACAAGCGATGTGGCAAATATACTTACCGGCACCGCATTATATCCCAAGGAAGAAGTTTGATATTTTTACAACGAATGAAGTTCATCAGGCTGACCTCTTGTTTCTTCCCCACAATAAAGTAAGACACAAAACGTATAAATACGCTTTAACCGTAGTGGTTGTGGCTAGTCGATACAAAGAGCCTGAGCCATTTACCTCAAAAGATTCAACAGAAATAGCTAATGCACTGAGCCGCATTTATAAACGCAGACCACTAAAATGGCTGAAGCTATTTCAAGTAGATGTTGGTCGCGAGTTTATGGGATGAGTAACTAAACTGTTAACAAAGAATGATGTCGAAATCAGGTGTTGTGAAAAAGAGGCCCACCATAGTCAAGCTATCGTTGAAAGATTAAACCGGACATTAGCGGAACATTTGTTTGGCTATCAGTATGGGATCCAAATGAAATCGGAACGATTAAGATCAACCAAATGGTTGACACGATTATCAGCTATTTTATCAGCGCTGAATAATGAAGTAACGAGATTAATCAGGAAGAAACCATCCAATGCGATTAAAATGAAATCTGTGACTTAAGAATCTTCGGCACTGTCGGTATATAACACCTCGCAT